GGAAGCTAAATCAGACATATTAGTGTGTGTGACTAAAGTTGTTTACATCTATATCTATATATCTGTGATATCTGTTGCGAAGATGAGAATGAGTTTTAAATTGATCTTTAAGGTGTTGAACAACTGTGTCCACTGAAACATTTTAGACATTGTTTTGAACTTATCACTTCATGTCATAAGTTGATCAACTTTTCTATTTTCTCTATCCATGGTTTTCTTTTCAGTGTGGTGCACGCCGCCCAGATGGATTTATACGAGATCAATATCTTTGGCTCTGAGCATGTCTTTGGTGTGGGAGGTAAGTTCTTGTATATTAGGAATATCTTTGAAATTTGTTGGTCTTGGTGGTGGTGTTTGCTTTGTTTCTGAACCTGTTATTGGAAGCACATCTATTTACTGTCTAAGACAGTGGAAGGTTTTATAAAATATAATTTGAGGACATAACTTCTATCACCCAATAATGCTGTTGGACTTTTGAAAGGTAGATTTGTTTCCTCTGAAGGAGACCAGTCACATCTGGGGTATTCTGAGTCCATGTGTCACTGAATTGTGTCCCCTGAGCTCTACTCTGTGAATCCTTGAATTACTTGGTGAAAGGGTACTGCTGTAAATGGATGTAGTGAGTTGAACTGTGACGCCAGAAAGATATGTTCACCTGGACATTCAGAATGTGTTCTGGAGGGAAGGGTCTCTGCAGATGTAATTAAAGTAAGAATCTTGAAAGGAGATCATTCTTGGATTTGCGTGGGCACTAAATTCAATGGTGAGTCCTTAGAAGAGAAGGAGAGCAGATACAAACACCCACAAAAAACCATGTGAAGATGGAGGCAGACACTGGAGTTATGCTTCTAAAAATCCAGGAATGGCAAGGATTTGGCAGCTACCAGATGCAAGGGAAAAGCAGGAAATGCATTCTTTCTCAGGAAATGCATTGCTTCCAAAGAGAATCAACTTTGCTGAGATGGTGATTTCAAGCTTCTGGCCTCCAGAATCTCAAGGGAATACATTTCTGTTGTTTTAAGACACCAAGTCAGGCCTGGCATAGTGGCTCATGCTTGTAATTTGACACTTTGGAAGGCCAAGGTGGTAGAATTGCTTGAGCCCAGGAGTTTGAGACCAGCCTGGGCAACATGGTGAGACCCTGTCTCTACAAAATATAAAAAGTTAGCCAGCCCTGGTGGTACAAGCTTGTGGTCCCAGCTACTTGGGAGGCTGAAGTGGGTGGGTTGCTTGAGTCTGGGCAGTTGAGGCTGCAGTGAGCTGCCTCGGCAACACAGCAAGACCCTGTTTTTAAAAAAAGGACACCAAGCTGCATTAATTAATTATGGCCACCCTAGGAGACTAGTACGATGAAGGTTAAATGAAATATTTTACATACAGTAAGAAGCTTATTACTTAAAGCAGGGGCAGGCAAACTGTAGTCCCATGGGCTAATCTAGCCGCTGCCTGTTTAAAAATAAAGTTTTGTTGGAACAGAGCCATGCTCATTCATGTATATATCATCTATGTCTACTTTCATGCTGCAACAGTGGAGCTGAAGAGTTGCAGCAGAAGCTGTAAGGCCCACAGAGATGAATATATTTAAAATTTTTGGGGGGGTGGGTAGAAATACAAATTTAATTAAGAAAGGGACAGTGGTAGATAGGAAATCCTGTGGTGACTGCTTTGACTACCCTTAATAATACTTGCTTTGAAAATCTGAATGTTCATAGTTTGAATTTGCTTAAAGCAAATTCACATCTCTCCTATGGAAGTACAGATATTGATTCAAAGAGGTTCAACAGAAGCAACTGATCTATAGGATTTGTGTAGCCTCAGGTAGATTGTTTAGTTCAACCTCCTCATTTTGACTTCTTGGACTTAATGTGAATTGGAAGCATTATTGGGTTGGTAGGATCGAGTAAGCAATAAACATACTCTCAGAATAAGGAAAAGAGCTATCTATCATTGTATTGAAGGCCCGTCTCTCCCAGATGGTTCTGGGTGCTTCTTATTTGATTAGTAATGAGAATGCAATTGGATAGGCTTTCTGTCTTGAGTGTGTGAAGTTCTCCCAGATTCTGAACAAGAGATGTGGTAACTGAATTGAAATAGCACACAACAATAGCTTATTTATTTTCCTTATTTTGTACATAAAAATGTATAACTCTTCTGTTGAGGAAGTCTTCCTTAATGATGATGTGTGTTTTTCTCCTAACTTTTTGGAGAGTTTTCTAGGAAAATAAAGATTTAGAAATTTGGTCATTGAGTTTCTTCTCAAATATTCCTGAAAAAGACCCCTCTTATAAAAATGGTTCATACCTCTTGAAAATCGACTTCAAGGGATTTATCTAAGGAAATAATCAAACATTTAATTCCAAAGATGTTCATCAGAGCACTGTTTATAGCAATGAAAAGTTGCAAGAAACCTACATTTAAAACAACAATTAAGAAGAGGTTAAATAAGTTACAGTGCTTTTATGTTTTGAGTTAATCATAGAATATTTACTGACATGGAAAGAAGCTCTTGATATAAGCTCAAGTGAGAAAAAAACTAGAAAACAATAGAATATTGTATAGAACAAATACACACCAGAAAAAACAGGTGAAAGATTTAGGTCTTCTAAAAATATTCTCTTGCTTATCTCTATTTTCTATTTTTTTGATGAATAGTAATAAAAATGTTAATTTAAGTGAAATGAGCAGACTGTCATTTTAAATACTTTTATTTAGAGTTGAGAATTTGTAGTTGATATAAAAATAGCTTTTTTCTTTCTATAAAAATTAATAATGTACTTAAACTATTGCTCACGAGGAGAGCATATCTGAATAAGTCACTTTCTCTCCCCAAGCCTTAGTTTCTTCATCTGGAAAAGAGAGAATTAAATTGACTGAATCTCTAAGTTCCTGATCAGCTATGCCATTCTGAGAAGTATGAGTTAATGTTCAGAGCAGCGTATTCCTTGAACCAGCTTCTTTTTTGGCTTGGGAGCCTTGGGCTAGGTTGGATCTTCTATGAGGGGGGATTTTCTTTCTCTCTCTTTTGAGACAGAGTCTCGCTCTTTTGCCCAGGCTGGAGTGTAGTGGCATGATCTTGGCTCACTGCAACCTCCACCTCCCGGGTTCAAGCAATTCTCTGCCTCAGCCTCCCAAGTAGCTGGGATTATAGGCGCCCGCCACCACACCCGGCTAGTTTTTGTATCTTTAGTTAAGATGGGGTTTCACTGTCTTGGCTAGGCTGGTCTTCAATTCCTGACCTTGTGATCCACCGCCTCAGCCTCCCAAAGTGCTGGGATTACTGGTGTCTGCCACTGCGCCCGGCCTCTCCTTTTTAAAAAAAATCTTGTCTTGATCAAGCTATGGTAATGCATTTTCTTAGAAAAAACATTTCTACTTTAAAAATTTAATTTGTACTAATCAGTCCCAGGCAGAGAGCCTGCAATAAACTTGGTGTCAATTTCATATTTTGCTGAAGTTTGTGTTTTGTTTCAGAACTTACTATTTCTCTCTCTCTCTCTCTCTCTTTCTGTGTGTGTGTGTGTATTTTCCAAGGATCATCAGCTGCGCAAATAGTTTTTCAGAAAACATTAGCCCTGAGCATTACATTTGACCTCTAAAATTTTTGTTGTCCTCACTCTAATTTAATGGGGTCATCTTTTCCTTTCTGCCTCTCTCTTTCTCTTTACAAGATATACTCCTGTAATGTGTTGCACCATTTTCCCAAGAAGATTTTTAAGTTCCTTCAGGGTAAGCATTATAATTTTGCTAATTTTATATCCTGTTCATATCTTGCCCAGTGTTAAGTGCAGTGAACAGTAAGGATTTTAGGTTTGAATTAAATACCCACAGGCCCTTTCAGATGCAACCATGTCTACAGAAGGTGGAATGCTTTCAATCATGCTGTATTTTTTTATACCTTACTTGAGTTTCTCCTTTTGCTGGAAATTGAAATCAGCCAGGAACAAGAACAGGATGTGTTTTTGTGCATTAATATGCTGAGACATTTTTGACATTGGAGCATAGATATTGAGAAAAATAATTCCTAGGACTGTTCATTCATTCCTTGAGTCTATAAATGCTTACTGAGTTTTGTTCACAGTGATGTGGGTACAAAGATGGGGAGGAGGATAATGAGGAAGAGTTGAAGTGTTACACATACTCCATGGTGCATCTGTCCATCCATTTATCTGTCTGTCCATCTCTGCTTCCTCCCATGTGCTCATTCATTCATCTGTCTGTCCATCCTATGAATATCAGTTGTGAGCCTACTTAGTTTATAGCACTATCCTCGGTGTTTGGGGTGTAGTAGGAATAGACAGGCAACATTTCCTGCCTTGTTGAAGATAACAGCTTATCACATAGTGGGTGACACAGATCAACAATGAGTAAACAAGGTAATAGTATCATTAAGAAAATGCTGTGAAGAAAAACAGCACAAGGAAAGGGCATAGAGGCTGACAGCAGCAGCTGGGGAAGGTTCTATGGGGAGGTGATCTAGGGAGAGCCTGGGATGGGGTGAAGGGTGCAGAGGAAGGAGCACTGGACTGAGAGTCAGGCTGAGTTCTCATTTTGACTTCTCACTAACTACACAGCATGGACAACTCCTTCAGCATCTCTTTCTCACCTGACTACTGATTAAATAAGATGATGTATGCAATAGTAACATTCCAGAGCAGTGTATTGTTATTAATAATGTTAAGGCCTGTTGCACGAGTAGCATTTAAATGACCAATGGAAATGTTATGTGTGGAGACTTCGAGTATTTCCTGCTTGCTCATGGCTGTAGACAGCTAAGCCCAACCTTTCTGGAGTCCTACAAATTGTCTTATATTCTCAGCATTTTGAGGTCTTTTCCTTGGAAATTCCTTGATATATTTTTCCAAGGAAAAGACCTCAAAATGCTGAGAATATAAAACAGGAGGAAGCATTCAATCTCTTCACTGGATGAAGTGTATGTATTAGCACATGTATATGTGTGTTGGAGGGGGGTCTTCCGAATGTGACAGAGACAACCAGCAGTGTTTCCCAAAGCACAACAAAACAGTTTATTTAAAAACAATGCATTCAGCACTGTGTTTGGTACACAAGGCAATGAGGCAGGCACATTCACACTTCACAAGTACATTTGGGGAGCTGTCGAAGCGAACCATTGCATATTCTTCACAAACTACAGTCACAATATACACGCAATTGTCTCTATCCTTGTTCACCAAGAAGGCAGAAGATATTTACAAGTTCCTCAGTCTAGCAGTGCTGGCTTCTCTTGGGTCTCTGTGGCCCCCACAGTCTGGCGGTTTGTTTCCTAGGGCAGGCAAGGCTGCCTGTCACAAGAGAGGTCAGTCTGATTCGTAAGGCCCTTGGCTTCTTCCAAAGAGAAAGAGGACTTCTGATAGAGTTAGGAAAGAGGGAAGCCTTCAATATCAGTATCTCAGCATAAAATGGCATTTTCCGAAACAAATGCATTAAGTGTGTGAGTGAGGGGGTGAGGGGCAGGGAATCATGGTATTAACAATATAAGAAGTGTTTATTTTCCCTGACACGTACTTCTTGCTCATTTATTTAATAACTTACATTCTCTGTTCTTCTACTTTTTAACCTTTTGGCTTCATCATTACTTTTAAAGAGCTTTGGTCCTCATTCTGTACTGATATACTATTCTTTAAAATGATGCTAAAATGAAATGGTGAAACCAAAGTGAGAGAAGATATCACAAGCATTCTTTTGTCTTGACTTCTAATTTATGCTTCCACAATGGATTGTCAATGTCCATCTAACTAACAGAAGCAGCAGTGTGGTGTAGCAGAATCAGTGGTTGGGAGACCCAGACTCTGATTCCAGTTAGCTGGCTTTGCAGAGAAGCCACTCCAACTTTCTGAACCTCACTTGTGTCATCTCCATACGAAGGACGTTGATCTGGAATCCTGACCTGAGATAACATCTGCATCTGTAAAGTTTGGCTATGGACTTAGGTAGTGTCCCATGTGAGTAAATGATAGAGTATTGTGATGTTTCAATACATTTGTGTGTGTTCTGGGAGAATTTCAGTGCTAACTAATGATGCCTGGTAACTGGATCTCACCCTGTCAGCAAACTCCCAGGGTGTAAGAGATCTTGTGCTTGTCTGCACAGTATGAGTTCAGATCTGGATCTTGAAATATGGCGAAAGAGCATTTCTAATATGGGGTACAGTTATTCTCAGTCTTACAAAATGGTCTAGATTCCATATTTCAGAGGGAAACTGTCTCCTCTTTCTTCAAGTACTTCAATGACTTTATTCTACTTACACACATTGACCAAACCTCTCTCCCACTGTCTGCCAGTTTTTCTTCCCTACCAATTTTCTTCCCTAAGGCTAAAAATATTATGGGAGTGGCTGGTTCCTCAGTAATGGTTTTGCTGTGAATTTGTTCATAAGAAAACAAGGTGTACCTGCCAAGTCCCTTGTGCTTGCAGCTGTGGACTTCTCTCTTTGGTGTCAGGAAAAAAGCCAAAGGGTGAAGGCATACTTGTGCTCAGGCTGCATGCAACTTCTTGGATATACAGACAAATATCTGAATATGTGGCTGATGCATTTAAAATAAAATATAACTTGCTCAATGTAGAGAAACAAGCTCATTTCAATGACCATTAGGAAGAAGGCAAACAGATATAACCTAGCATTTTACATATAGAATAGAAAATGTCCAACTTGCATTTTAAGCATTTACAGTTTAGAAATGCCTTATGGAACTCATAGGGTATTTTCTTACAGCAAGGAAAGGAGATTTGGTCCTTCATGATCTAATTTTGATTTACTACTTGCAGAATAACAACTTATGGCCACTCACTGTGTCCAAGGAATTAGGCAAAAAAATTTTCCCCAGCATTGCCTTCCAAAAGATTTAATTAAGCCCACCTAAATATTGCTTCTACCAGAAAAACTTCCAATTTGCAAACAAAGCTTGTTCTGTGGATTACCATGGTATCTGATTTCTAAACACTCAGTTGGAAGTATACTCACAACTAGCGGTGAGGAAGGACAGTTGCTCTATTGCTCAATGCCAGGGGACTGCAGTGGCCAAATGTGTGTTGGTAGATTTTTGTTTTTCATGGTCCAGTTATTAGCTTAGCTAACAGCAAAGCATCACATGACAACTTATCCTGAAAAGTTTGTCTAGTCAGCAATGAACTTGCCCAGAAATATTCCTATTTAGTGGTATTTCTTGACCACTGGAAACTTTTCTGAGGGTAAATCAACTCCAGCTGAGTACAACTTAAACTCTAGGCATGATGTTTACTGGGTGTTCCCTGGTGGAGTAGAGACTTTGGAACCTTTCCAAAGCCTTTCCAAAGGCTTTCCAGAGATACAGAGCCAAGTGAGCTTATGGGGTGCCTTGTTATTCCCCTGCTCATTTGCAGAAACTATTTTGTGAATGCCTGTAATTGTGTGTGTGTGTGTGTGTGTGTGTGTGTGTGTGTGTGTGTGTGTCAGAAGGATGAGGGGGGCAACAAGTGATGAACTATTGGCATATATATATGTATATTTTAAAGATCAGCCAAACATGGTTTTAACTGGTAGTTAAAGAATGTTTTTCTGGAGGGTCACCCTTAGAAATCAGAAAAGCCATGGATGGTAATTTCCTAAGGTACTGAGGAGTCTGTTGAGAAGTTCCTAAGAGTCACGTGGAATATTTGAAAACCTTAGGACCCAATAATATGATCTTTTACTAAAAATAAGTAAAACTAACCAATATGGAAATGCTCCCCTTGGTGGAGGGGATATTTAAAAGCCCCTCCAAAGCTGCTGCTAGCTTTTCCTATTTGGTATTCACTGACTTAAAAATTGTTCAGGCAGTGCCGTGCTGGAGCTGACTCATGCTGTATTGGAGCCAACTTATACTGGCTCTTGAAAACATTTTGTTGTGTTTTCAGCTGGTTGACATTAAGTTAGTAGCTTGAAATTGGCTGAGATGAGAGTATTTACACCATGGAAATTGGTAGGTGCTAAAAATCTGGGTTCCACTGCTTTCCAGAGTCAGTTGTTAAACATTTGGCGGCACACCAAAGAGCTAAGACTGTCTAAGAATCACACAGAAGAATTGAAGGAATCCTTTGGTATCACTGTTGTCTAAAGCCTTTCTGCATGCACAGCTATAGAAAGAAGTCTGGCCAAAGCTTCATTAGGATGGTGGCACATTATCCAACAGAGGCGGGTACAAGGCCACTAGTAGTAACTGACCACCCCTCTTATACTGGGTTAGTCTTAGAACTGGAGTCTCTTGAATTTCCTTTATTGATTGGTTTCATTTTAGCCTGAATACATTTGCGTTTTGGATATCACCTGAGGCTGATAAATCAGACCCCTTAGAGAAATATTTTAGGCTCTAGGAATTACTTCCAAATGGAATCTGCATGAACTATTTAAGTTCCTTGCTTCTCAATCTCACCAGTCCTAAAGATGAGTGACCTGAGATCTATCTCTTAGTTTGAAATGTAAAGAGGGAAATATGAAGAGCTGGACTTGAGATAAAGCGTATATTAAAGCTATGCTCTCCACCTTGTCTTCGGCTTTGCATCCCTTTCTGATCAGTTACTATTTGCTTATAAATTAGCGGCTGGTCAATTCAGCGGAAACAGGTGAATTATTGAATCACTAAGACTGTGTCTATATTGCCATCTACCATGATAACTTCAAGGAACATGTGAAACCAATGGCACGAGGAGGGATAAACATTTAGCTACTTTGTTCAAAGTGGTATAGATAACTCCCTACGTATATATTATTTGTTTCCAAATGCTGGCCACATGAATCACCTGGGAATCTTTTTAAGTTGGACTTATCCCAGGACATTATGAATCAAAGGTCTGGAGTGGGGAGCAAGAGTTGTACTTTGAAGAGTTGCTTATTTCATACAGCTGTGTTTGCTGGGGATCAGCTACATAATCCAAGTCCTAACCACAGAACCCCATGGTTACCTTAAACTGAAGTCAGTTAATCTGCAGCAGCTCTTCACTGTGATGCCACTGTCATCAACAACAAGAGAACAGGCTTCATTGAGGAACATCTATTCAAACACATATGTCTTCAATCATAAGTCATCACAATAAAAATAAATTTTCAGAAATACTGCATAATACAACAATACGTAATACAATAATGACTTCTAAAATGTTTCCTATTTCAAATGTTGTATCTATGTGGCAAAGCAATTGGAGCATGAGAGAGGCATAATGAATCATTTTGGTGCTTGGTACCAACTGATCTGTTGCCTTGATTAATTGGGCCACAGAGTCCAGACAGGTCAATCAGCTGGCCAAGGTGCCCTCAATCCCCAGCACCCAGAGTGGTCCATCTGGGCTCTCCAGCCACAAACACACAGCCCCTCTGTAAGCAAAAGAACAGTTCTACACATTCAGGGAGAAGTAGAGGCTTAAACAGAAACTTTTGCCTAGTGCATTCAAACAATTATGGGAAAAAAGGTTTTAAGAATCCAGAATTATACAGAAAATTGCTCAGTTTGTCATTTTGCACATGAAGACACACAAAATTATTTGTATATATTATTAGCATATTGAACCAAACACAATATTTCAAAGTATGCTGTTGAGATTACCTATAAAATAGAAGGCATTTCTTAACTCAAGTGACCCCTGATGAAAGTTATATATATGGAGAAGTACACAACCATTTTCAGCCTTCAACTTCTAAACTATGCATACATGTTACTAAAACAAGGCTTTATTAAGATGAATAGCTTATTGGGTAAGATTCCAGCCATCAAGCATGAACCACCAGTAACTAAATTGTTAATTACCAAATCATGATTTACCAAGAGAGTTTTCTTTCATCTCAGGGAGAAGGAAGGTGATAATCGGTGGACAGTTGCATACCCACACAAGCATTTCCCTTATTATTCTGTGTTGGGAAGTAATTTTTGGGAGGGGAGAACCTTTTCTCCTCTTTTATAGCCTTTCTAACTTACATGCCCTGCAGATCCCTGACTAAAATCCCTGTGAGCCCAGCTTCACTTAATTCTAATAAGGCCAAGAAGCTCTAGATGAGGAATCATAATTTCTCCACTAATGGACTGTGTCATCTTGGGCAAATCACCTAGCCTCTCTCTTTCTCCATTTTCTCATTTGCAAAGTCAACAATCAAAACTGAAGAAGCCATAGGCCTCTTCATTTCCAGTGTCCTAGCATTCTAGAATGTTTTCCCTGCTTCCTTTGACTTCAGGTCAACACCGCTTTGTCGTCTGAGAGTGTCTAATCATTAGTGGCTTGACTCAAATCAGAAGACATGTTCTCTCATTCTTTGGCTTCCCCACCAAATTAGGTTTGTCTTGGCACTCACATTCATGGATAAGTAGTGGCTTGGGCATAAGGAGGCTGGAGGCAGGGGCAGCAGTTCTTCCTTTGCACACCCTTGCTGGTAGCCCCATGACCAGGTACCTGACATCAATGTCACAGACAGATGGCACAACAGTCATAGTCAGCACTGCCAGGCACACAATGCTACTAAACATACAGCAGTTTTACAATAGTCACAGACACTTACGACACAGACACAAGGTGGAGAAATGATAGACATTTTAATAATCAAATATGGGAGAGATTGTTGGGGCATGGGAGGAATTCTTGAAACCACCATTTAACCCTGTCTCCCTTGGATCTGTGTCTGCATATGACACTCAGAATAAACAATGAAAACCGAGGGTCTAGCATCAAGCAGGTTGCCAAATGTTTGTGATTATTTCCCTTTTCTGCAACTTAATTGGTTATGTGTTGGTGTTAGGGGTAGAGAGCCTTGGGGGCTTTATGGTAGAATGTATTCCAATAGTTGGAGATGGACTCTGCTATGAATGTCCTGAAAAAGGGAAAGGCTCTGACAAAAGGATATAATTAGTCTAGAACCAACAAATCAAGGTCAGTGCAAAAGCCAGGGCATGTATCTGAAGCTGACTGAGGAGGAAAGAGCCAATGGTCCTGAGCTGATTACTGCTCAGTTCACTGCACTTGACTACATAAGCCTGGGTGCTGCAGGACAGCCAGCTGCCTTTCTAATCAGGACACTTGGGGCACACAAACTTTTTTGGTCATAAAAGTGGTTGTATAGATTTGAAACAGTCTTTAAAAAACAAACAGATTTTGCATGATCAGCTAGAAACTGCTATTCTTCAAAAGAGAAGGGTGATCTATTGGGATCATCTCTGGGAAGTCCCCCTTAAAAGCAGAGATGAGCCTGATCTCTAAAGCCCTCAAGTTCCGAAGAGAAGTCCATTTCCTCAGTATTTTGAGTTTTCATTAAAGTGATAGATGACATGGTGGTGGAGGATGGGAAGGTCCTCCTACTCTAAGGTTAAGATGGAGGCAAGAATGCAGTGAGATTTAAAAAATCTCTCTGAACTTCAAAAAAAAAATCCTTGGCATTATGATGAGATAAAATTTAAATAGTCTACTACAGAACAATAAACTGTTTTTAGAGATTCTGGTCTTTTCCTCTTTCAACCTGCTTTCATTTAAAGTGTCTATGCATTTATATTTAGTGAAAATGAATGGGCACGCTGGGATTAAAACTCCAGAGTCAGAATCTGGCCCATGTAATATTGGCATTAATATCACTTAGCTGTAACCAAATGAACTAAGAGCACAGGAACAGCCAACTAAACATTTCTGTCAGTTAGCAGTCTCTCAGTGATCCCAACAGAGTGCAATGTGAGGACAGTACAGTCCTCTTCCAAGGGACAGAGAATAGGAGCCGGGTGCAGTGGTTCATGCCTGTAATCCCAGCACTTTGGGAGGCTGAGGCGGGTGGATTGCTTGAGGTCAGGAGTTCAAGACAAGCCTGACCAACATGGTGAAACCCCATGTGTACTAAAAATACAAAAACTAGCCAGGCGTGGTGGCAGGCACCTGTAATCCCAGCTACATGGGAGGCTGAAGCAGGAGAATCACTGGAACCCGGGAGGCAGATGTTGCAGTGAGCTGAGGTCGCGCCACTGCACCCCAGTCTGGGCAACAGAGTAAGACTTCATCCCAAACAAAACAAAAAACCCCAAAGGGACAGGGAACAAACATGGTGTGGTTGTGATACCAATTAAATTATACCACTGAATTAAAAATGTTTTGAATATCTCCTCTTATAATTATATGGTAATGTGTGTCACAGTTGGTAACACATTTGAACTTGGTGTTGATTTCGTTAGTTAATATCTGGATCTATGCAAGCTGCTCTAATTAGATTGCTTTCTGAAAAGAATAAGAAGGCAGTGTTAGGATCAGGTAGAATGTGAGCATAAGGGTGGTGTCTTTCTTTGCCATATTTAGTTTAATTTTAGGCATGATCATACCTTCCTAAAGAGGGGCAATGAGCTGATTACTGAGCTGCAGCACATTTTTAAAACGGTTATTTGTCGTATTGCGAGCAATCTAGATTTCAGGAAAAGAATGAGCTGCCCCACTCAAATTCGTAACAAATATCCTTGACTGGCATTTGGAAAGAAGAAAGAAACTCTTATTAAAATTTAACATCAACTTGGCCAGACTTTGGGCAGAATTGGAAGAACAAAGTGCTGCTCAGTAAAAAGCAAGGAATGGGAATGATTTGATTTCTACTCATAAGGCTGAAATAAAGAAAATGAGAATGGCCAGTGACTTCCTTCATGGCACATCTACATAATCTTGGATTCCAACTCTTGCCACTGCACAATGGCTTTTTCTTTTGAAATGCTTTATTTGTAAATGTATAGCTCTGACTTTGGTGGAAAGAGGAAATATCCAGTGCTACAATGTTCTCAAAGAGAATAAATGGTTCTGGATTGGTGGGTGTGCACAGAATGATATGGAAAATGATTGTACCTCAGCACTATTCACATGGGTGCCTGGCCTGGCCAAGCTCCTCCTCCACTTTATCTCAGCTGGAATGGGTAACATGGTTACCACACTTTAGGGTACACAGGATTCCATAACAACTTCTAAGTATTCTTCTTCCTTTTCCTTTATGTGTCCCAGAGTCTTAAGCTGATTCATTGCCTCTATATTCTGAGACAAGACCCAGCCCATTGCATGGGTTGGGATCATGGGAGGCACTAAATTTAGGCTGGAATGGCCTTGAGATGTGGCCACAGTGCTATCATTTGCCATAATAATGCCTAAGTGGAGCGATGCAATGCCACCCATGACCTAGCCTTTCTTTGTGATCATGAAAGATGCACTGCCCTGTATCCCACTCACCACAGAGGGACCATACTGCTGTAGAATGACTGAATGGACTAGTGAGGACTGCATCAGAGGCATTTTTAAAAAAAGGAATCACAAGGGGGTCCATCATGATTTGCTCATTTTGTCATGAAACATCAAAGTTACCCAGAACCTTAAACACATCAAATACAAATGCAACACATACAAGCAAAGCGAATTCAATAGGATTCCTAGCAAATTATTAAATTCCATGGTGGTAGGGCAGGGAGTGGTTGGGGAGACAGAGAGAGAGAGAGAGAGAGAGAGAGAGAGAGAGAGAGAGAGAGATAGAGGGGATGATGATGGTGATAGAGACAGGGAGATAGATAGAAGATGAGATATGCAAACCAGTTTTTTACATTTCCATTTTTCACAGTCTGATCCCATCAGGAAAACAGATACTGCCCCAGTTGGCCAGACGCCTCTGATTATGAGGACTGTATCTGAGCAGAGCTGCAGAAACTATAGCTCTGATCCTCATAAAAATGAGAGGCAGTTTATTATTAAAATCTAAACATGAAAATACTTCAAACCATTTCATTAGCAGCATAGTTCCAAATGCAACATTCTCTTTATCAATCAAGTCTAAACCATGTGGCTTCAATGCATGTCCTGCTAAATCTGCTAAAACTCTTAAAAGAGCAGTGCAAAAGAGAAAAGACATCTTTCCCTTTAAATGGCAGACAATCCTTATAAAACATTCTCTAGGGTTCTATTCTGAAGACTATTCAATTTGATTTGGGGCACTTTTTAAACAGCCATTTGGCACTTTCCGTTCGGAGTTCTTAGGCACAGTGTGACAGAGTCAGCTTGGTGAGCCCTTCCCCATGCATTCGGTACAGCAGCTGAAACTCAGCAGGCAGCTGGTGGGACTCCTGCCACTTGGTGGTAAATTTGGTTCCTTTTTTGTCATAGTAATGGTATGGAAGATCTTCCCTTGTGTTGGGGTCAAATCCAAAAGGCCAAAATCCATATAAGTGGATCTCTTCACATATTGCTGATGCAAGGGTGTACATAAGAATACCTGTGCTCAGTCGTTTAGGTGACAAATGTTTGTTTTTCCAGTACCTGCGGAACAATAAGTACATGTGGATTCAGAGGTCAGCGTTGAAGGTTTCAATCAGCAAGGTCAATCTGACTGGGTTGGGTAGTGGATTTGTCAGTGTAACTTTTAAATAGTACTTGCTTTGAAATTATCTTTTAGGTGACCGAAAAAAAAAAAAACCCTCTGGGCACAACTGGCTACATAATTTGTGAGATCCAGTAAAAAGTAAAAATGTGGATTCTTGGTTCAAAAAGTATAGTGCAAGAGCAAAGTACTAAACCAAGTGTCGGGCCCTTCTGAGCATGGGATTTCCTGGGATCACACTTTTTACACACCTTTGAAGCTGGACCTTGGAGCTGCCCCTGCCCCTGGGATTCTCTAAAGAGTAGTGTGGCTCTGACTCAGCGGTGACACAACAGAAGGCAACCAAAAAGAATAACTGTGCCTTTCTTACATAAAGGGCTCTTGGATAGGGTGAAGGAGGTTGTTTAATCTAAGGGGAACTCCTCTGTCCCTTCCTTTCTCAAACCTAGAACTAAATCCTTCACTGAGGGTTTAGAAAGACTGTGGAGCTTTACTTTTCTTCACTGTCTTGTAAAAGATTGTATTCCTTGCTTCTTTGTCTTCTAACTAGGGGTCCCCAAGCCCATCTTCAGCATGTCACAATCTGGCATGTTAAATTTTTTAAATTCAGAAAGTGTGTAAGAAGTATTAAATGTAAATAATAAATTATAGTTGTTATTCCTTCCATATTTAAATAATGTTAATACTCTGAAGCCTTCCTGCTGATACTGCCAAGTATGTGAGGCTTCTATGTGTCGTGTGTATTTATCACTGAGATGCAGGCAGAATTAAACTATTCATGAGTCCAGTTTCTATGGACCGTATTTCCTTCCAGTTTTCACTGACCCCATGTATTTTGATGAAGCCTGAGTAGCTATGAAACATGATTAACTCCACTTTTGTGGCAGGCAATCACACAGGCTAGTTTCTGAAAGTTTCTAAGTTCCTTCTTCACCACTTGAAGGTTTCAAAGGTGAACCTTTCTCCTTCCAGATAAAATTTAAAAGTTCAGTCTTGGTTTTAATATTCCTGCCTAAGGAGTTAGACTGGCCCTAACAATGCTTTTGGCTATCTCCTACCAACCTGTCCCATGGGTAAATAACAACTTCTGCTCCTTGTACCTCAGATGACTCATCTTTAAACTTAGGAGCTGGGCTACATTACTACTTTAAAAGGTGACCATATACCCCCGGGAACTGGAACAATCCCAGTTTGTCAGTTATCTGTGTTGTAATTATTAATAGCATCCTCTTTCTCTTAAAGAAAAAGTTCCAGTTTGGACTGTAAATTATGGCATCACTCTACAGTTGAGACACACACCAGTTTATTAGACTATAATTCCTCCTCCTATGAGAGGTTAATGAAGCAGATCTTACATATGGTGAACTTTAGGAGACTACAGGATGGGAACAATCTATTGTGGAACAAAGATCTTCAGAATTCCCTGTTTACCAGATCTCCCAGAATCCACCCCAACTTGTAATAAAATCTGGGGCTATGTTAGGACACTGAAGCCCCTTACATAGGGGAAACTGAAGTTGAATTAATTTTCTCCAGATAAGTTAAAGGAAAAACATTCTACAAATAATCTTGTTTTATAAAATGCCCTGGACTAGTGCTTCTCACTTCTGATGGCATATTGGAATCATCAGGGGAGTTGTTAAAAATAACCAAGTGCCTGGTCTCCACCTCCTTACCCACCAGATAAATTACATTAGGATTTCCTGAGGCAGAGCCCAGACAATAGTATTTTTAATGCTCTCAAGTGATTCTAACGTACAACCAGAGTTGAAAATCACAAGACTAGATGAAAATATTGCATCCCTGGCTGATTTGGCTATCAAATTCCAAGAGACAACAACATGTTCATAAAATACTTTTTTCCATGTTTTTGCACTCAAGTATCAGATTATAAAGGTAGATTGTGCAATTTATGATTTACCTAGGCGGTTTGCTAATCTTGGACATCTACAAAACACATAAATTTAAGTCAACTGCATCGTTTCTAAAAAAAAGCCACTTGATTTGTCTCTAGCCATTGCCATTCTTGGAATATAGCTCTCTGTTTAAAGAAAATGCTTGATTTGTGGTGATTTTCATGACTGCTCCGTAGCCTTACTACCAAAGGAGAGGACAAAGAAGAGAGACAAGAGACTCATGAAGCACCAGTGCTTCCATTTGACACTTGGTTACCAGCTGTGGGTAGATGGAACTTCTTAGCTAGCATGATTCATTCATTCACTCATTACAAAGGATCTGAGTTTCTTCTGACTACTAACTAACCATAACAACTGAAGAATTGGATGGCTCCCACCCTGAAGAGATTACAACATTGATTTGCCATCTGGTAGGGTATGAGTAAAATGCAATAAAATATACACACCTGTTGACATGTTGCATTATATTTCCCGGCCAAGCCAATTGGACTTTTAACTGACCTCTGTGTTCAACAAAAAAGTCAACTAATGTCCTGGTCACAGTTGCTGAAGTGTGGAAGAAAAATGCAGGGATCCAAAGAATGGCCCCATCAAGCTTTTTTAAACTGAGGAAAAAGTTGTTACGATCCTGAATAGTCAAGAGATTGTTGTAATATTTTTCCAGGATGCTGGGGTTGAAGGTGGTAAGGTTGGTTTTTCTTCCAACATCTCTTTGGAAAGCCTCCGTAGGGGCGAAATTGCAACGGAAAACAAAATCTGATTTATCTATTTCTTGTCCACACTGGCTCCCTGTCAGGATCCCACTATTTCCAACCACAGCACAAATATTATAATGCTTGTTCATAATGGGTGACACATCTGGAAGCAGTGACCGGAAGTTATTGCTAATAGAGAAAACATATTTATGGCTGGAATAATCATAGTGCATCAGTTGTCCAATCCGAACACTATTCTTGGTCAAAGAAAAATTTTTTATTACATCGACATGCTGAAGAATTTCTTGCCTAAAATAAAGAGAAATTCATTAAAAGCATTCCATTCAGAAGAATTGATTTTCCATCTTATGTCTTATGCTTCCATTGCATTCAGAGGGAATCTTAGACTCATTGAATCTAAAAAAGATTATACATACATAATTGTGATCCTTGAAGGGAGGACTACTTCAGAATGTATACATATTCTAATCTTTCAGCCAATTTCTGGGTGTATTCTTTGAGGCTTATAAATGCAACTTTCAGTTTTAGCTGCCATACCTTAGTTTTCTACTCTATGTGAAGAGTGTATCTTATTTAATCAGCAGGGAGGCATAGACCAAATTGCATCAGAAAATACAGAGAGACAATTTACACAGGCCTGAAAGAGCTCACATTAATGCACAAACATTAGTAACATAGAGTTTGTAACTAGGGTCTACTTGTTTGTTACTGGGCTGCAGTGCTCAAAGAATATCAAATATCACTGGTATCCAAATAAAAGCCAAACAGACATGAGTCAGTATAGCACTATCTATTATTAAAATAAGAAGATGGTAATAGCAGTGGGTATACCTGAATATTTAATAGAAATGAGATGATAATCTCACTAAGGTCCTTTGAATAATGAAACAGGGATTGTTTTCTACTTGATTATATAGAAACACAATTTAGTTGAAGAAATTTAATCCTTAGAAGACAAGGCTATTATAAATCCTACAAATATGTCCATATTCTAACAATTAAGTACATAAACAAGGCAAGACTGATACTTAGAACTAATTTCAGGTTGCTTTCATATTGAGCTTTAAATAAGTATCTCTTCTTAAAGTTTCAGCTATTTATAATATTCAAGAGAGATCAGTAACATGCTACTTTGCTGCTAGATTCTCCAATATTAAATAAACCCATTGAATTTCTTGAAACTTTTGCCTAAAATGTAGAAGGAATGAAATGAAATGCTTTGCATATCATCACATTGCCTGGAATTTTATTTTAAAAAATGACTTCATTCTTCAAAATATAGGCAACAGCAACTGAAATCTTTAAAACTCCCCAAGTTACCAGTACCATTTTTACAAGCTGTTAAAAAGGTAAGGCAGATTTTAAACACTACTTGTAAAAATTTAATTAAAGATTATCTAATTAATTTAAATGAGGGAAGTTTTGAGAAGGAAATATTCTTCTGATTGGTCATTTGGGTCACATGGCCTAGTTGGGAAGAATATATCTTATTACTTTAGAAGCATGTTTTAGGGAAAGCTAGAATGTGTTCTCCCATGAAAATTTTCTGGGTTGTCCATAAATTTAATATTGAATTAAAACCCTCCCAATTATTAAAAAAACCCCAGCACTTCTAGAGTTTTAGATTGATTGATTTTCATGAACTAATTTATAATTAAAGTGTTTTTAAAACGTTAATCATAATCATATGACTCTATGTTGACTTTTCAACTAAACAACATTTTCATGATACCTTGAATAGCCACTGCATTTGTTTTAATTCTGCCCATAGATTAAACTTTTAAAAGTGAGAGAGCAATCACTAGAAATGCTATGACCAAAACACAACACCCTAAATAGAGTGGTTCGTAAAACAAGTATTCACACTTCTAATGAATACACTAGATGGCTCACATCCCATTTAGCAGTACAATCCCACCATGAAGGGAGGAGTAATGAGTTATTGTGGTTTGCTAAGAGTAGACCAGAATCAGTGAGTAGAATAAATATATTTGAACAAATCTCATCCTTCTTCCTTCCACCTAAAAAAACAAAAACAAAACCAATAACCAAAAATCATCTTACATGTATAAAGTGAAGCTGCTGCAACTGGTATGAATTAAGTTAGGTAGCTTTACAATAAGTTTAAAGCTGTAAAGACAATGTAAACAGGCAAAAGCAAAACAAAAACAAAACAAAACCAGTTAAATTCCTACATATATTTGGGCCAGCATTTTTACCAACAATTTGATGGAGACAGATTATGGCATTTTCCTTGTGTTTCAGTGAAACAATACCATTTTATTCTATTTTTCAAGTTTTTTCTTTTTCAGTGAGGGAATGAAAATGTGTTGGGTGGTCTTTTTGCAGCTAACCTTTTGTCTGTTTTTAACAAATAGATGGCTTTGGCAGTACTTGCCAGACTTGTTAGCTGTAAATCATGGTGCTCAATCAAGCCCAAGTTAAATACATTGGTTTTCTTTTCAAATTGGTCCTCCTGATGTGTCTTTTTAATGAGAGGGCACTACATACACAGGGGAGGGTTCCTGATCATTGCTTTGTGTAGTCAGGCCAAGAAAACAATGCAGATACACCTGGTGGTGAGGGTGGGAGGTATAGATGTTTGTTGTTTTAGATGTTTTTGTTTTGTTTTGAGCTCCAGAATTCTTAAAAGCACCTTTTAGGTCTTTTCCGCCTATCCTACCTTTGATGTAAAAACGCTGTCCGATTAAATGTCCACTTAGAAGGTTTCTCTTGGAGTTCCTGGGTGAGAGAATTCGTAATGGGCACAAATGACGGGTCTAGAAACTTCAGCGCAAATTGTGACCTGGAGAGGAGCATGAGCACAGACAAGCGTGCTGGCCTCAGCTCGGGGAAGCCAAGGTAGCCATTAAAGTCCAGCGGCCGGGGTGGGGGCGGCTGGCACGCGCGCGGGCTCCGTTCCGTCCCAGAATCCCTCTCATTTGGTCCACCCTCTGCTCCCAAACACGCCCGGGAGAAAGAAAGAAAACTAGGGAACCCCGTCTCCATTGTCCATCCCTCCGGGTGCCAGAGAGACCATAAAATGGCCGTCATGCGGAGAGCAGGGCGCACGCCGGGCGCAAGCGGCGCCGCGAGGACTAGGGAGTCAGCACCGCGGACAGCGGCCGCCCCGCCAGCCAGACCCGCGACGTCCCCGCAGCCTCAGAGAATTGATTTTGGTGGAAACGGGAGAGGAAACTCGAGGCCCAGGGCACTGCCGGGGGTGGCTCCTGCCTTAACCTCTTCCTTCCCGAGCCCACGTCCGATTTCACTTTCTATAACTTGGCTGTGGACCCTCAGGGGCCGCCGGCCAACTCCGCTCCTCCGCCGAGGCGGGGCTCCTCTAGGTTCCGCGCCTCGGTCCCGGCTTGGACCGACCACAGGTGGCACTTTGGAGTTGCCACCTGCCGGTCAGGAGGCCCCGCTGAGAGTTCCCGGGGTCACAGGTAGGGGCGGGGGCCCTCGCAGAGCTGCGTCAAGCTGCGCCTGGAGCCTTCCCAGACCGGCCCTGAGCCGGACCTGGCGAGGGTGGGCGGCCTTTCACAGGCTCGCTTCCCGCAGGGGGCGGGGGAATTGCAGCAATCCCGGAAAGGGGGGTGGGCGGTGGCAGCGGGGGAAAGGGTCGAGGGAGAACGCCCCATGGGCTTCCTGAGAATAAACCCGCGCAACGTTTGATAGCGGCGGGGGAGGAGAGGAGGAGGGCGCGAGGGGAGTCCGGCGCCTGCGCCATTAAACCGCCCGCACCTCCCCGGGCCCGGGCCCGGCCCGCGGAGTCTGCGGACAGGGCGCGGGGAGGGCGCTCCCCTCACGCCTGTCCACCTCGGCTCGCCGCCCCCTCCCGAACACACACACGGTCTTTCCCTCCAACCTCACGCTCCTGAAAGCATCCCCCAGCCCCCACTTCTGAAATGAGGGAAAGGATGCCGAGGAAGAATACGAGAAATGCAATCACATCGATTAGGACGACAGCTTCCAGGGGCTTTGGGTTAAAAAAATAATAAAAGGGAGGAGGAAGGAAGAAATAGAGGAGTGGAAGGGCCGCGCAGTTATCTGGCCCAAAGAGTCTCGGAGAAGCAAAAACACCCCTCCCCCAGGCCTCCCCTTCCCTAAACACCCTATCAACCAAATTTCCGAGGGCGCTCGCACAGAGGCCCGCACTCACCGGAATCCCGCGTGGAACATGTACATTCGGGGCGCCCCCGGGCTGGCGTACTTGGGAGTGGTGAAGATGTTCTCCTTTTTCAGGGACACGTAGCTGATAAGCGATAAAATCAGCAAGGCGACGCTGAGCATGACCAGCCCCAGCACACTGGCGACCCGGGCCATTTTGCAGTTTCTCATCCCGGGCTGGGTTGGGTTCAGGGAAACCGGGGAAATCGGTCCATTGAGCGGCCAGCAGCTTGCTGGAGTGTGTGTGTGTGTGTGTGTGTGTGTGTGCGCGCGCGCGCGCGCGCGGCGTGTGAGCGCGTGTGGCGGAGGAGGGGGACCCGGTCGGGGGGTTGGGGGAGAGCGGCAAGGGCGGGGGGGGGGCAGGCAGGAGTCCTGGAGAGGAACGGGACCCCCCCAGGCAGGGGCGCGCGGGGCCGAGCTCAGAGCAGGAAGATGGAGGGGCTGCGCGGCGGCGTGGCGATGGAGCGCGCAGCGCCGTGCGTCCCCGGCCGCCGGCTCAGGCTCCCCCGCGCGTTTCCAGCAAGGCTGCCATCTCCGCCGCCGCCTGCAAGATAAATGTGATTGGAATAATGTTACAGTTCGATCTAAGCACAGGATTTAATTAATGAACTCTAATCTCCCAAATAACCGAGGGGAGGAGGGTGCTGGAGAGGGAGGGAGGAGGGGGTGAGGTGGAGGGAGGAGGACTGAGGCTGCTAGGCTGCAGCCCGCGCCTACGGCCTCTCCGGCTGAGGGTGCCGGCGAGGAAGTGGCTGTGGGGAGCCAGGCGCCCAAACTTAGTTTAATGGACCATTCATTACTTTATAATATCACGGAATAGGGAGACAAACAACCGGATTTGCTGTCTTGAAGGACAAACAACAGCTGGGTGCTTCTCAGAGAAGCAGAGATAACGGTTTTTGAAAGGCAGCTGTTTAAAAGCATCTCCCCTCATCAAGGCACGGCCCTGAGCCCCCCCCCCCACCTTCACCCTCCCGCCCTAAAGGAAGCTTCAAACAGCGACTGGGCCTGCCTGCCTTGGGCGCCCTTAAAACCTTGGAATTTGTGAGAATGACTCCCCTGTCCACCTTTTATGCCCATCACATACTTCACTTTTGCCTAAAGGGTGGATAGTGCCTAGTAAAGTTGCCAAGTGGCCTGTGAGTAGGAGGGCCTGCTTTCCTCTCTCCCTTTCCATCTCCCAGTGGATGGACAATGTGCTTGGCCTGAACTTGACCGGGCCTGGTGGAGTCAGGCCCTGCTTTAATTCTCCAAGGCCCATTTTTCAGACCCATCCTTGGGGCCAGGCCTGATGGGCTAGGTGGCTTGAGCCTCTCTGAACTTGAGGCCATTAAAAATACACAGAACCCTTTCATGAAGGAGCCCAAGAACCAACTGAGAGAGGCTACTTCTGAGGGTGGAAGGAAAACGTACTTCCTAACACTTTTCATTGCTTGACCTTCAATTTGTTTTAGCGTATTCACATGATTCTTGTTTTAATATCCATTAGAAATACAAATTAATCCATTTTTTCAGTCACACAATTGGGTGCTCAGGGGAAACTCACATGTTTCTTTAGCTCTGTCCTTTGCAATTATTATTATTGTTTGTTTAATGGCCTCTGCCACCCTAGCTTTACTCTTGGCTTGGTCCTCCCAATACTGGTCAATAAGCACTAGTGAAGAAAGCTGGAGGTGAGAAATTGGCCTTTGAGTTCTGATAAAGCAAGTAGAGAGTTTTCCAAGGTGGTTATGACTTCTTTCTCCCCTGAACTTCTTGCCTTGTGGGCTTTGGTGGACCTAATGTTATGATCTGTCTGGGGGCTGTAGATTCCTTGAAGGGATGAGCTCCTGGTTTTAAGCTTCTGCAGAGTAAGGGACGTCTTTCTTCCCCAGTATGGTTTCTTATATGTGTTGTGCTTGCTTAATGTTTGAAGACTTGATGAGCTCCCTTGGGTAACATATCTATGTGGTTATGGACAGTGGCACACAGAATGCTCCTATGTGTTTCCAATGACAAAGGGGGTCACTTTGTACCCTCTAGAGACTTTTTAACCAAAATGTAAAAATGTGGGTCAGGAGGACACAACCTCCTTTCCCATCTTGGGCTTTTTTATTATTTTAAAAATGTCAGAAAAGTCTTGCATGCCCGAATATGATGAACACTTGAACTGTATTTTTTGAATTTCTATTTTTTAAGAAAAAAAGAGAAAGATTGTACAAGTAAAGTGTAAAATGCCAAAGGGAGTAAGATCTTAAGAGAGTCATCTAAGAATGACACCTGCTAGAAAAAGTCTTCTTGAACAGGAAGTCAGGGGAACATGCTATGGAGAGGCAGCCCAGGGCGGTGTTACATCTTCAGGCTCTGGAGCCAGAAAGAACTGACTTCAAAAGCATACTCTGGGTATTATCAAACACACAAAAAATAACAAATGCTGGCAAGGATGAAGAGACAAGGGAACTCTTATATGCTGTTGGTGGGAATGCATACTAGCACAGCCACTATGGAGAACAGTAAGGAGGTACCTGAAAAAAACTACAAACTGAACAATCATAAGATCCAGTAATCCCATTACTTGGCATTTATGCAAAGGATGGAAATTAGTATGTCAAAGATATCTACTACCATGTTTATTGCCACACTATTCGCAATAGCCAAGATATGGATCAACCCAAGTATTCAACAACAGATGAGTGGATAAAGAAAATGTGGCTCACGCCTGTAATCCCAGCACTTTGGGAGGCCGAGGCGGGTGGATCACAAGGTCAAGAGATCAACACTATCGTGGTCAACATGGTGAAACCCCGTCTCTACTAAAAATACAAAAAATTAGCTGGGCATGGTGGCGTGTGCCTGTAATCCCAGCTACACAGGAGGCTGAGGCAGGAGAATTGCCTGAACCCAGGAGGCGGAGGTTGCGGTGAGCCGAGATCACGCCATTGTACTCCAGCCTGGGTAACAAGAGCGAAACTCCATCTCAAAAAAAAAAAAAAGAAAGAAAGAAAGAAAATGTGGTATATATACATAGTGGAATCCCATTCATTCATAAGTAAAAATGATATTCTGTCATTCTCGGCAACATGAATGAGCCTGGAGGACATTATGTTAAGTGAAATAAGCCAGGAACAGAAAGTTAAACACCGCATGTTCTCACTCATACACAGAAGCTAAAAAAGCTGATCTCAAAGAAGTAAAAAGTAGAATAAAGAATACTAAAGGCTGGGAAGGGTAGGGGGAAGAGAGGATAAAATATATATTAAAGGATACAAAATTACAGCTGGATTGAAGGAATAAGTTCTAGTATTCTATAGCGCTATTGGATGACTATAGTTACCAATAATGTATTATATATTTTCCTATACCTAGAAGAGGGGATATTGAATGATCCCCAAACAAAGAAATGATACAAATTTGAGGTGACAAATATGTTAATTACCTTGATCAGGTCACTATATATTGTATGTATCAAAATATTACTATGTACCTATAAATATGTATAATTATTATGTATCAATTAAAATAAATGCTTACAGCCAGGTGACCTTGGGTAGGTTACAGCTTCTCTATGTTTCAGTCTCCTCATCTGCAGAACTGGGGTAAAAATCTCTCTGGGTTTGGGGAAAGATTAAACAAAGCATATAAAGGCTTTTGCACCCTGGTCTGTATTAAGCAGTTAATAAATATGAGCTAACAGTTTGGGTAAGTTTTAGTGTCCTTTTCTCTGACCCTGCAAATGTCTTGCTACAGAGCGCATAGGAAAGGATGTACTTGGGTGAGATATTTTCTTGCAGAGAATAGTAAAGGTCAAGAAACTCTTCAGTTTCCTTTATAAAACAGCATTGCAGGCTTTCCTGAGATATCTGATATGGGATCGCTTTGCCTGGATTTAAAAATTGATGTATTACTTAATGCTTAGCATACCTCAGTGAACCTTCTCAAGAAAGTCCTAGGAGGATGATTTTCATATTGCATATGGGCCACTGAAGGTCACATGACATAAAGGGACCAAGTTAGCCAGAAAATAAATAGGCAGGCAGGCAGGCAGGCATCTTTATTACATGTGCCAGCCTTATGGGTGAAAACAGACTGCTCAATAATTACCAGGGAAATAATTTTGGTGGTGATGCTTCAAAAAAACAGCTGTAGTTACTGGATAAAGGATTTTTCAGGCTTGGGATTGTAGCTATTTAATAATTAAAAAAATAATTAGGACATTTTTACAAAATATCACTTATCAAATTTCATTGGAAATCAGCCCTGTGCAAGAGTATAGGAGAGTGAAAATAAGAAGTACAGAAATGAAAAATCCCCCAGATTTAATGTTTTCTAGGAGAGTGTTATTCTAGACATAGGAACTTACTTCCCTTCTTCCATTCTCGTGAGTGTCTACCTTTGGCAAACATGACTCTGCTTCCTGGGTAGCCCCTCACCAACCCATACTGACCAGCAGCAATTTTCAGGAACCATTTAGGTGGGAAGGCAAGAAAGGGTGGTGTCTTTTCTTAGAAACGGCATTTTTCCTTTGGGGCTGAGGTGGGCAGATCACTTGAGTTCAGGAGTTTGAGGCTAGCCTAGTCAATACAATGAAACCTTGTCTCTACTAAAAATACAAAAATTAGCTGGGTGTGTGGCAGGCACCTGTAATCCCAGCTACTTGGGAGGCTGAAGAAGGAGCATCATTTGAACAGGAGGGTGGAGGTTGCGGTGAGCTGAGATCGCACCACTGCACTCCCATCTGGGTGACAGAATGAGGCTGTCTCAAGCAAAACAAAACAAAAAACCCAGCATTGTTTATTCACTCATTTATTTCTGTTTTCTTTAAGCACTCATGAAAGGAAATGTGTTGGTTATCAGACACCATGCTTGGCAGACTCAGGGGTCATAAAATCATCCTTGACCCCATGATGGTTATGGTCTTGTTGGGGCGAAGGATGTAAATGTAACAGAGGTACTATGGGAAAAGCTCCACACCAGGACTGCTAAGGAAGCTGGGCAACATGTGCTGTCTGGGAGGTTAGCAGAGTTCTTCATAGGGGGCAACATTTGAGCTGGATTTTAAAGCATGAGTAGGATAAATTAGGTACAGAAGTTTAGAAAGGTCATTCCAAGTAGAGGGAAGACTACAAGCAGGAAAGATTATGCTGGATTTGGGGAACAGCAAGAGGCAGGAAGTAACTGCCACAAGAGAAGAGCCTAGAAGGCTAGTTGGAGTCAGATGGGGATGGGCCTGTGGGACATGATAAGAAGTTGGTCAGGATCCTCTTACTGCACTGCTCAGAACCATCCAAAGTTCACAGGGAGGAATGTCTCAATGTGATTTGCACTGAATGGATGTCAAAGCAGCTGGAGTCAGGCCCATGGGGAGGTGAGACACCAGCTGCTCCTGCGGATGTCAGCTGATACGCCCCATGGCCCTCCAGCCTGTCCACGTGCCAGAAGACCCAGTGTGCCTTAATTTATCAATGAACCAATTGGCCATTTAATGTTATGAGACACCCCCTGAATAAGGCATCAGGGAGTTGACTTTCGGGAGGGCAAGTGACGCCTCCCGGACAGCACGGAGATCATCATGTGGGGAACTCAGAGGGAGTCCACTGAGGAGCTGCTCTTTGGCCGCACATGACCAGAGTCCTTTCTGCCTGCTGTTGCCTAACACCTTGCTTTCTAGTAACTCTAACAGCGAGCTCAGAGGAAGGATCTTGGAGTCTTCTGGTTTTTTACCTATTTCCCTACAGAAGATAAGCACTCTATGAATTCAGTGGTGGGAAAAGTCACTGTGGTCAGAGAAAGTGTCACAGAAGCTCTCAGATGAAACAGAGGCATGAAAGTTTCCAGAGATGGAGATGGAAAGAGAGGACGGGGCAGGCAGGGGCAACTGAACTAAACAAAGATGTGGGCAGAAGAGGGCAAGACTTGACAGGAGCCAGTAAATAGATCAACCCCCTTGAAGTAAAGTCAAAACAGCCAAGATGTGTAGGGCATTTAGGGGCTGGGGCATTGTAGATAGTATCTATAATCTTTGCCCCACTCCTATGAGGAAAGTATAAAATTATTCTCACTTTATAGTTAAAGAAATTGACATTAAAAGAGGTTAAGGACTGGCTCAAGGTAAAGCCCCTCTGGCTGGAAAGCCCACCCTTTCCACTAATCCACTCTGCATGTAAGTGAGTCCCAGGACAGAGAGCTGGAGATGTGTGCAGACGGGAGAGGTGGAAACAATTATGTTTTGGTGATGAGAACTACCATTGCTTCTACTGACAATGACAACGATGATATCATCTAACACTTACAGCTCACATGCTATGTGTTTAGTATAACGCTGGGCATTTTACATAACTGATCTCATTCCATCTCTATTCCATTCCCCTGAGGATTTAATGACCACCACCATTTCAACAGTTCAGAAACAGGCTCAGCAAGGTTGACTTTATCAAGGCCATCTTGCTAGTGTGTTCCAGAAGAGGATTAGGCCTCCATGTGTTCCACTGGTACTCCAGAGCCTGGAGGAAGAGGGGCTTTCACTGTTCTCAGGGTTCCCGAGGAAGGGAGGGCATGTTGGCAAGGGTGAAGGGGTGGGGACAAACAAGGAGAGGACCAGAGTGGCACATAAGAAATGCAGAAGCCTCCTCTGGGACCTGGAGAAAGCTGAGTGGAGCAGGAGCCTGGGAAGGGAGGGAGGGCTAGCCATCCTGTGCAGACAGGCCTCTTATTTGCATTGCATGCTTTTAGTGCCAGCACAGCACCCACCTGGTGCCCAGTGTGAAAAGAAGTCAGGAAAGTTTGCTGTATAGTATCCCTGAGGTTTAGGCCAGGGAGAAGATCAGCATCAAGTACTGATGGTGGAGAAAGATCTGCTCCAGTGGGATGGATGAGCTGACTCGCTTATTGAAGAGGCCATGTTTAATTAAATTAAGTAGTTAGATTAAGTTAGATTAATATTAATACATGCACACAGTACAAAATATAAAGCCTAGGAAGGATGCACCGTGAATAGTCAAAGTCCCTTCCGCCGTTGTCTCTCAGGGCCTCAGTCACCCTCCCAGAAGCTGCTGCTGTTTCTGTCCGGAGATGATCTATGCATCAGCTACTAAGCATATGAGTATGGATTCATTTTTAAACATAAATGCTGAGACCGGTTTAAAATGATATTTACTTCAGGGTTTCTTTTTTTCCTATATCTCTACAAAAGACATTTCGCACAGCATTTTAACATTTCAGATGTTTGCAGATTGCATTTTCTAGAAGCTGGGGAATT